GATGGGGGGCAGCGTCTCCCCCCTCCCCCCCCGACCCCCCGCAGAGTGACAACTGCGCCACTGCACATTCCAGGAAACGCCACTTGCTGAAGACATAAACAACCTGGGCCAGTTGAAGCGCTTGCACTGATGCTTACAGCCTCGCTAAGTGCCTTTCAATTCACGGCAGTGGTAGTATTTCACAATGGCATCGAGAAGGCCGGCTGCTGATGCCACAAGTCTCGAAACTGTCTGCTAAAAACTTAGGTGTCGGACACACTGCCTGTCTGGAATTAACCATTCAGTCAAGACACTACAAAACACTTGCCGGTTCCCTCAAAGGGGAAGCTCAAATAAAAAGTGATGGAAGTGCTGAACACGACGTAGGAATTTGGACATCGAGCGGCTCGGTTCACGGCTATCAGAGAGCAAAGAGGCGCATTTGCTTGAAACCGCTCCGTGAATGACGTGCCAGAGATTAGCCTGTGAAGGTCACAATCTTAGCCTATCCTTTCAGCTGCTTTTCACAACACAACCCCGGGCCCTTTCCAACAACAGGAAGAATGTCATCTGGTTACTTTTCAAGGCACGGAGATACCATTCACTGTGGCCAACAATGGCTGCAAACAGGACCGGAGGGTGAGGAGGTTATAAAGAGCCCCATTCTAACTGCCGCCGGCTCTCCGGCGCACCGCACGCACACAGAAAAATAAAACACACCCACACACTCGGGCCCGGGGAAGGGTCACGGCAGAGGGCCAACTGACTCCCTCACCTCTGCGGCTCTGTCAAAGGAGCCTCCATGGCTCCCTGACACAGCTACAGTATAGCCTCCTCCACCAGTCAGACCTTTTGAGACGGCCCATGATTACATACCGAAAGCATCAAGACGAAATAGAGCAAACTTGGCTCCTGTTATATCCTGATACTTTGAGAACAACAATTTACATCCCAATGTGGTTTTTTGGTGGGTACAAAAATCAAATGCAACAAATAGCAAATGTCTTATGTTTCCCCGCATTTATTTATTACAATATTTACTTTAGAAAACACAGCATGAATAAATTAATTTAAAAAATAATGATAAAAACTAAATAAAACACCAACATCCGGGGGCCAACGAAATACCATTCTAAATATTTTTGGGAATATATAATTTTTAAGGAATGCAATAGAGTGCAAATAATTATAAAAATATAAACAAGAAAGGGCATCAAGTAAAGCTGGGTACACAATCGGATGTTTTTGTTCCGATGTTGCCGCCTTCCTGACCAAAGGCGTCAAACTCCCAACAACCTTTTAAGGTTGTCCTATAAGATGATCCTCATGTTTGAAGTTTGTTCAGGATTCAGGCCAGCAATCTTAACAGGAACCCCGACCATCATGACAAACAGTTCTCAGAATACAACCACGGACCTGTACTATTAAAACACATTATTTGAAATACAAAAAAGGATTTCTTGTAAATTAAAAAAAAAAAAAAAAAATCTTGAACCGATTGTGGTGTCTCAGTCTGAACACTTGGGACACTATGAAAAGTTTGCGTGCATCTTTTTTTTTTTTTTGCCCCTATCAGCCTCACTACAATTTTTCAAAATAATCGCTCGTGAAATGAAGCTAGCTAGCTGTTATGCTAACAGGCAGTGCCTATGACCATAAAGCCCTTTGGATTTTGCCAGTCATTGGCTATTAGCAGTGTCATAAATTTAGCTACAAATATAATTCCAGCCAATACTTTGCCTTATTTGGCTTATTGTGATCACAAGTAAATTTGAGATCGAGAAAAACAAATAAATAAACCATTCATCAAAAGTCTTTATATTATAAAAATCAACTTCAAACTTGTGACGCATCCTGAGATCTTTCTTATTGAGCTTGTGAGCCCTGCCCCCCCCCGCCCCCCAAAAAAGATTCCAAACAGAGGGGAAATTCAGCCTCTAATGAAGCGCTTGAAATCTTAAAAATAAATGCATTCATATTTTCTTATTTTAAATGATTATCAGGACTTGTGTGGTAGCTTGAGTGACTCAATCAATTCATTGACACAGCTAATTGATTGTCAAAATGAATCAGCAGTAAAACACCCCCCTTGATTGAACGGCAGACTGATCCCCCTTTTTTTTTTTTTTTAAAACAACAGCCAAGTGGATTGACATTCAAAATTGTGGTACAAAACTGTCTGACGGCAAACTTTTCATACATTTCATTGTATGTATTGTCTGGACTTTAGAAAATAATGATCAACATTTTGACTGATTTTGATGATGGATGTTCCGGACCAGAACAGGAAGGGAATCATCATCACTGCATATCGGTTCATTATCTCCACTTGTTTCGGGTTGTGTGTGTGTGTGTGTGTGTGTGTGGGCGGGGGGTATCATGAACCTCCCCAGCTTAACATGCGTCAGCTTCACAATTACTGAGCCATAGATCACACATCAACCCCCACAAGGGCCGGAAATTAAAACACACACCTTGATTGAATGGCAGACTCATCCCTTTTTATTTATTTATTTTTAAAACAACAGCCAAGTGGATTGACGTTCAAAATTTGAATGGAAAAAAAGTGGTTCAAAGCTGTCTGACGGCAAACGTGAGATTTCATTCTATGTATTGTCTGGACGTGTGTGTGTGTGTCGGGGGGAATGTGATGAAAAAGCCAACACACGTACACACAATGGCGTTTTTTTTTTTTTGCCTTTCCAGCGGAACGGGCGATTGTGATTTTGCAGCATCAGCAAACGGTCCCGAACGTGGAGTTGCCACATGCGAACCTTCCGCCACGTTAAGCAAAAGTGAATTGGGGTGCAGCGGGGGGGGGGGGGGGGGGGGGGGGGGTCATGCGGTCAGCAGTAGTCGGGTCCCCTCACGCAAATCCGCACATCCCACAAGCGAGCAAGATGTTTTCTTCCGCCGTCCGAGCGCCTCGCTGTTCAGTTGCACTTTGTCCTTTTCATTTCATTTCCACACTTCGCAGTTTCAAAAGTTTTTCTTTCTTCATTTTCCACCAACAGTGGGCGGGAGGACACTTTCTGCTCGTAGAAAGGTCCCCCCTGAAGTCAAAGCGGGACAGAAACTTGCTGTTGTGATGCTTGTTTTACCCGTTTCGCTCCAAACCTTCGACGAGACTCCGTCAAACCTTGTGGCTGAGGAGAAGAAATCAAACGAAATCCAGCGGTGCCATGAGGTACGAGCTGAGGTCAATTACTTCCGTGGCCTTGCTCCGAACTCCAAACACACCCCTCCCCCGAAGTGAATGGAAAAATGCCATCTAACAGCTCCAATCAGCCCAACACCCCCTCCAAAAAAAAACACACAACCAGCAACAAAACATTCAGAAATGTCATCTTCAAGAAGGAAAAAAATTGTACTTCGTAAGAATCATTTATTTATGACAAGAATGAAATTATTATTAATTAAATGAAGTTACTATTAATTTTAATTTTTAAAACTTTTTGCTTAACCTCAATGGGTATTGTGCTGCTCCTTCTGCAGTGCACATCTTAACCACCTAGGGGCAGCACAAGACAGACAGAGGCATAAACTGTACATGGAGATGGTCTCAGCTCCTCTCCCAGATCCTCGGCGCAGCACTAATACTAGTCATTTTTCACGGGGGATAAAGAATCTATGACTGTGATCGCTTTGGTAAATTCTCCCTGTGTTGCTGCGCAGTTTGTGTTGAAATATCTGGTGCGGAAGTCGTGATAACACCACCACGATTGTTGCAAATTAGGAGCCTGTAAATGGCATTTCCCGTTTAATATGTTAGCATAGCACCACATGGGCGCTCATAGCTCAAGTTTGCAACCATCCTTAACAACAGTTGCCATTTTCCTGCACGACAGGAAACAGACACAAACTTTTAGACTGACACGGCACACATTCCAACTCAGGAAACCTGCATTCGAGCAAGTTCACATCTTCGCAATCACTCCACCTGGGCCAAAGAGCCTCAACGTGTTTCGGTTGACGAGCGGTTGCATCGGACAAGACCCGAAGCATGTTTGGACATGTTGGTGAAGTGTTAGTGCCGTCTTGCACTCACCTGTGGTGGCGCGTGTCACCGAGCGCTCGGTTGCTGGGGACACGTTCGCTCTCCCGCTGGTTGAAGGCGTAGCGCGCGTACGGGTCGTCGCCGGGATGCCAACGTCGGGCGCTCAGGTAGCCGCGCTCGTCGAAGCCGTCCAGCAGGTCGTCCCACTCGCTGTCCGACATCTGCCCGCCGAGCACACACACCGGTTAGCGCCACGCAACGACAAGACAAACACGAGCACGCGCGCGCACACACACACACACGCGCGCGCAAATAAACTGCATGGACGCCTAAGCAAGCGACATGAAAGTTGTGCACGGCCTGTTAGTCTCCTCCCCCATTGCTCAGCCACACACTTGCTGATGCCACACTTTGTCTAAATGGGCCCATTAGGGGGGCTGGGCGCGTGTGTGTGTGTGTGTGTGGGTGTGTGTGTGTGTGTGTGTGTGGATGAACAAGGCGGCAGGGAATGACAGGAGACCAGCAGGAAGTTGCAAAGCGGTCGGTTGCCTAAATAGGAGACAAATTCCAGAACGCCTGTGATTGGTCGCCGCTGTGACTTGCTGTCATTTGTCGAGTTTCTGTTTCGGCCATCCGGTGATGAATCATCATCATCATCATGGCACATAAACACACACACACACACACACACGCGCGCGCGATGCTGTTGTGATGAGTCAGCACGGTGACGAAGAGCCAAACGATGAAGTCTGCGTCAAGCAACTGCGCTTCCCTCTGGCGTAAAGTCGCTGGTCAGCAGCACGGAGGCGCGACAGCAGCGTCGCCCACGACACTCCACGCGGCTCATCGGAAGATAGACAACAGCCCTGTCGGTCGCAAACTTCGTACGTCCGAATATCGTCAGTTGAGTTCGGCAAATGGATGCCATTGCACGGTCAGTTGTTCGGATGCAAATTGACCAATTAAATGTGATGAAAAGTCTGAAGTAATTCACTTACCACGGACATTTCTATCGAGATGCAAGCGATGCCGAGCATATTCGCAAAGTCTGTTTTTCAACGGTGAGCGTTGACCAGATTACCTGAGAAATTCATTATTATGAATCAGTGTAAATGCCAAGAAATCCATGTCGACGGTGACAATGCATCGTTTTGGAGTTGTGATCAGCACAGCTTTTAAGTAGAAGATAACAATCGGGTGGCGAATCTCAGCTTGTCACGTCAATTATGAGGGACAGAAATGATCCAACACTTCACACTGCAGCCCTTCGTGTATATGTCGGTTAAAAACAAGCGTGTGTGTCGAAAGTGCGAGTCACAAGGGCGAGAGAAAATGACACAGATCATGGAGTGACAATTATACGATCAGTTGAAAAAAAAAAAAAAAGCTACCGATGTTCAACTTGAGTCATGCGGTGAGTTAGCGTCGCCCACGGTACGTTTCTAAATTGCGTATCTGTTCAGACATTTTGTTTCTGCCGTCAAAAGCCATTCCTCAGTTTTGTTTTTGCTGTTTTATACTCTCTCACAAAACATATTTGCGTCCAAGTTCCCCAAAACAAAAATTCTGTTTTTAATCGCCATGTTTTGGTCAAAAAGCAATCCGCGGACAACTGCGGATTAGCAAAGCCTGCCTGAATAGATTTTTACTTGCCGCTCCTTCATCAGAGCAGCACAGTGTTTGTTTGTCTCCAGTCCAGGCTTAAACTGGCTCCACAACACACACATGCACACACACACACACACACACACACACACACACACACACACACACACACACACACACACACACACACACACACAGTCATCGATTAAGATGGTGCGTGCGTGCCTGCAGCAGTAACGCTTGTTTGGGTTCGATATTGCTTTTCTCTGCCAGCTACGTTATACATCTTTGTCTATGACCACACACAGGTGCACACACACACACACACACACACACACACACACACACACACACACACACACACACACACACTTCTTTGACAACTTAAGCACTGTTGCATTACTATTTAACGAGGAAACAGCAAACGCGGTCGACATTTAGCGTCATTAGCGATTTATAGGCCCACCGAGCAGGAGTTCAGAACATTCAGAGTCATTCTCATTCCCCGAGGCGTGGAAAAAAGAAACAAAGCTTGCACGTGTATGTTCACATCCCCTATTAAATCCGTATAAGCTTTATTTTCGAGCAGCGGCATAACTCCAATCGTGCGCGTGTTTGCGTTCGCACTCGCATGCGGGAAGCCATTTTGCGCTGAGCTGGCACAGTTGCACTTTCTGCTTCCCACTTTAAAAAAAAGACAATGAAATATTTGGGGTGAGTTGGTCCAGATGTTGTGCAACCTCCTTCTCGACCAATCACATCGCTTGGGTTCTACGTACGGTACAAGTAGAAATACTTGATGCTATCATTGAGAGGATATATTTCGCAGTATTTTTAAATGAGGACTACTAAACATGGTTTCCCATCAGCTGTAGGAGCAGGAATCATGGCCATTATTATCATTTTTATTTTGTATCCTTATTTCTTCTTGTTGTTATTGCTTGTTATTGCGATTGTGATTTTCCCTGCAGGAAGCACTTCCAGCTGCTCCCAATCTCATTTCCTTCACAGGCGCCCGCCGAATCGCTCGCATTGAGGAACAATGGCCGCAGCCAGCATGACGCAAACCAAGCAGAACTTTAATAATCTCTGACAAGCGTGCGCACGCGTGTGTGGATGATGCTTCGCGGGAGAGAAGACAGAAAGTACAGCGAGAAAGCAGGAAGTGGACAACAATGTCTTGGCTAATCAGAGGCCGAGCTGGCGCTCATTTGAGCGTGCAGACCTCTGCCAACGTCACATATCAAATCAAATAAATGAGCGACAGGCATCAGGTGGCTCCGATGATGCGTGACACGCAAATACTGGACAAGTGCCACCCATCAACACGTTCAAATTGGATTTTATATGTCGTGTTTACATTGGCGCTTATTAAACGGATGTCGCCGGGCTTGTTTTGCAACCACTTTGGATTGCAAGGCAGCGGACGCGCTTGCATCACTCGCCTCGCTAACGTTAATGGGTTCAACTTGAAAGTGAGAGCAAATCTTGGCATTTATGTCACTTGAGCGGCGTTTAGGTTTGCCGTCAAGTGGCGCGATGAACATGCGAGTGCAAATACACGTTAGACGTAGATTGAGTGCTAAACATTCTGTAAGTACGATACATTTGTTTTCTGGATCATTACTTGTGATGTAAAAATGCCACAATGAACACATAAACATTCCATGTAGGACTCAGTGGTAGTGTAAAAAGCAGGACACTGATGCCGCGTGCGACATGAAGGTCATTCAAAAATAAACGTGGCACTCATATTTGGCTCACAGGCGACCGCTTCCACGTGCGTGAAGATGAAGTTGACGTCGAAGGCCCTAATGTGCCGACGCTGCAGGTGCACTGACGTTCACCAGCAAAAAAAATCACACGGCTGATATAAATAGCTTACTGACTTTGTGAAGTCAAACAGTCCTTCTGAATTCACGTTGGGAGCTGACCGCACGTGCCACAAGTGACAAAATGATGACGCAACACAGAAGCAGACGCCATTTGGCATTGGCTGTCGATGGAAATTAATAAAGCGGAGATCAAGTCAAAACATTTCTTGACACCTGACCAACTCGAAGTCAAACAGTCCTTCTGAATTCACGTTGAGAGCTGACCGCACGTGCCACAAGTGACAAAATGATGACGCAACACAGAAGCAGACGCCATTTGTCATTGGCTGTCGACGGAAATTAATAAAGCGGAGGTCAAGTCAAAACATTTCTTGACACCAACTCTGATTTAATTTTCGGTCGACAGCTAGTGGCAAAATGGCCGCCCCGCGAGATGTATAAAAACGGGTGGATGTTGCTGCTTCATTCATATTCACCAAAGAATGCCATGTTTGGGCAAGTTAGGGTGTGTAGAGCATATTAGTGTTTGGATTTTTGACTCAAGTTCATTTTTAAATTTGGATTTTAGTTTTAACAATCTTCCAACAAGCAGTTTTTACATATATATATATATGAACACATAGTTGCTGCTTCATTCATATTCACCAAAGAATGCCATGCTTTGGCGAGTTAGGGTGTGTCGAGCATATTAGTGTTTATATTTTGACATTTGACAATAAAGTTGTATCCAATCCAATCCAATTTTTCACTCAACTTCGTCTTTAAATTTGGATTTTAGTTTTAACATAATCTTTCAACAAGCAGTTTTTAACATACATATGATCACATATAGACAGGTAAGAAATAAAAAGCAAAGAAATATTTGCAGTGTTATCCTCTGTTACTAAGATGTCCAAAGGGTTTGTGGCTTCGCTGTTTTGTTTGGTTTCCCCCCCGGACTTATTTTAGAAGACCGCCAAGCCTCGTGTCCAAATTGGCCATGACAGCCAGCTGTCAAATTTTGCCACAGGTGCTCCCACGTGACAGCAGTGCATCAATCAACAGGCGCATGCGCAGTCACGCACATACAATCACATTGGCGGGAAAACTGTCACGCAAGTGCGCGTAACGAAGGTGACTGCGTGCCTGCGTGCGCGCGCCTCACCTGTTTAGCTGAGCACCAGAAGGTACACGAGCGCCCCGAGCCACACCAGCACCGCCGCGGCCACCGACGCACGCCGACACACGCGCTTCATTCCCGGTCACTGAAGCGGCGTTGACAGCCGCCCCCCGGAAGCCAATCCGAGGAAGTCCGAGCACCACGCCGCCGCCACCTCGCGCTCATCCTGCCCTCAGTCCTCAGCGCGCCGACAAAAGGAGGAACAAGCGAGCGCTCGCCACTTGGTCCTTCCTTCAACTCTGGCGACCTGCAAGCAATTCCAGCCAGCCAGCGTGCGCGTGTATGAGTGCGCGTCAATAGCTGCGAGTCAGCGTGCAAGAGCGTGCGCGCGCGCTCGCGTTTCCGGGGGTGATAGCGCCACCTGCCGATTCACACTAGCTCAAGGGTATAAAAGCGACGTTCAAAAAAGTGACTGGGATGAAAGAAGTGAGAAATTCTTTTATGTTAGATGGTTGAGTCAAATGGAATAAAATTTCAACATACTGACATGACACTTGATTAGGTACACTCGAAAAAAAAAACCAAAACAAAAAAACAAAGGGCTTGCACAAGAAACACGTGTATCCTGTAGACCAAGGTTGCCCAACCTTTTTTAAACAAAGATCTACTTTTCGAATTCCATACTGCTTGCTGACTGCCAACAACTTCCGGTGATGCAGGTCAAGAGCCACAGTAGGTTGAAGGTGACCTGCTTTTTTATTTTAGTTCATTTTTTTAAAGACACATACTGACATGACACTTGATTAGGTACACTCGAAGAAAAAACAAACAAACAAAAAAAAAACAAAGGGCTAGCACAAGAAACACGTGTATCCTGTAGACCAAGGTTGCCCAACCTTTTTTAAACAAAGATCTACTTTTCGAATTCCATACTGCTTGCTGGCTGCAAACAACTTGTGATGTAGGTCAAGAGCCACAGGAGGTTGTAGGTGACCTGCTTTTTTATTTTAGTTTATTTTTTTTTAAAGCCTTTTTGTGAAAATGAGACTGATAGGATGCTAAGGGTGTAGTGTGCACTCACACAAAAATGCATCTTATTCATAACACAGACAGAAATGTTTTGGGTTGGGGTTTTTTCCCCTCCAGACCCCTCGCAACAAAGATCTACTTTTCGAATTCCATACTGCTTGCTGGCTGCAAACAACTTGTGATGTAGGTCAAGAGCCACAGGAGGTTGTAGGTGACCTGCTTTTTTATTTTAGTTTATTTTTTTTTAAAGCCTTTTTGTGAAAATGAGACTGATAGGATGCTAAGAGTGTCGTGTGCACTCACACAAAAATGCATCACATTCATAACACAGGCAGAAATGTTTTGGGTTGGGGTTTTTTCCCCTCCACATCCCTCGCAATTGACTTGGGACCAGTCCGCGAGCTACCGATCGATCGCGATCGACGTATTGGGCACCCCTGCTGTAGACAGAGGCCCCCTACATATTTGCAGTTCGGCATCTGCAGATTCACCTGTTCCCAGATTTATATATTTTTTTAATTTGTATTTTTTTTACATATGCCTCAATAATCATGGAAACACCCACTAATTCACAGCATTTTTTTCCAGTCTGCTTCTTCACTTTTTTTTTTTTTTACCTGAACCTCTGATTATTTTCTTCAAAGGCAATTATTTGTGGAGTTTGTTCATTTTTTTGGACAATGGAGTTTGTTCATTTTTTTGGACAAACTGGTTAAATGAGAATGCGAATATTTTACACAAACGTTTTGACTTGATTAAATCTACAAATTACTTGGCCGTTTCTTTTTAAAAATTAAATGCGACCCTTTCAGCATGACCTTTCCCAGCCCCAAATTAGATCTAATCGGAAAAAGAGACCGTAGATACTCACACGTTAGATTTATCCATAAAACAAGTATGATTCGTGGCAACAAAACCAAAAAACAGTGTGCCACGCGGTCCTCTGCTGCCCTCTCGTGTTCTCCAGAAGAACAGCTTTACTCCCAAGAACTTTCACAAGTTGTCAAGTTTCCGACGGTCGCAAACGTACCACTATTAAAACGATCATTGAACAGAAATGAAACGATGTGCCATTGAGTAAAAGCCACAATCATCCTAAGTGAAGCAGTATCGCTTACATTTTCTAACATGAGACACTGTAAGTTGGGTTTAATGGGGACAAACAATAGAAAATGACTTATTGTGCTGCATATCCCCCAAAATAAGTCAATTTTGAGTTACCCATCTCTGAAAAGAAAGCAGTTGTGTATTTTGCTGTAAAAGTGGGGCTAACTGACATTAGCGTTTGGTCACTCTTCAACATTGTGACAAGGCATCAAGACGGCAGCTTCCTTGGAAGAAAGTACAGCAAACCACATCATCTACTCCAGTTTATTTCCTCATCAGAAAACGCAACACAATAAAATTAAAAAGGAGAAAATAAGGACAGAATTCTGCTTTCGTAATACATTGAAACTATGCCACTCTATGCTAGGGTGTAAGTAACTCAAACTGATATACGGTTAAATAATTCTTTGCTTTAAAAAGGTACACAAAGATATTTTCTTGTTCTTCCGTTTCTCATCAGCACTCAAAAAAACAAAACAAATCCCCAAAACAAAGATCCGCACCGTTTCCTTTCCTCTCACTTTAAGCGCCGCCGCGCATCTCTGTGTGAGGAGGAAGAGCTTCAAGAGGACCGGGACCAACTGGCAAGTTGCTTGGTTTTCCTGTCGCATCTCCATTGAGTTGTGACACTGACGGAAACGCGACAAGATTTTTTTGCCAATCGAGAGCGAGGACACCACAGTCTTTTCGAACGGTCGAGTTCTTCAAAGATTGAGAAATGTTGTCTGATAGCAAATATCGAATGTGTCTACGAGATGGACAGACAACACCAAATGTGGGAAAAAAAACGGGAATTTTTGTCATTGCGTTGGTGTCTCGCTTTGAAAAGCCAGTTTTTAATAAGCAACAGCGTTTGGTCACAATCTCAAGAAACGACAGGAAGTCAGCAATTTTGCTTTCCAAGAGGCAATTTTGTGTTAATTCCCCCCCCAAGTGTGTTTCACCTCACAAAATGAAATTTGGTAGAGCCCCGAATCACAACGAATGCCCGCAAAGACACAGGAAGAGGCTCGCGTTAGCTTCAGCCCATGTCGCGAGCGTCAATTTAACACAAGGAAGAAAAGACTCGGTTCACACTCCAAAACAAGCAAACACTCCCACAATCAAAAAAAGTACAAACCACACCCCATCGATTAATTATAACCATGAAACACAACCCCAAGAATCAAATAAATTAACAGAAGCCTTTGGGGAGGTCACGTCATGATTTCAGATGCTCGGCAGCCATGTTTTGGTGAACAACTTCGCCGCCACCCCAAAGGACAGAAAAAAAAAAAAAACTTCAGTCGTACTTCCCCACTCCGTGCAGCGAGGAACTATGTACCGAGCACCGTGAGGAGGAAGAGGAAGCTCTCACGTGTGCACGCACGCAACTACGACACAGATGGGATTGTGTTCTCCTGGAGTCCATGCGATCAGAAGTCCAGTTCAGAAAGGGCGGCGAACATGCCGCTCCCCAAACAAGTGAAGAAGGAGGAGGAGGAGGAGGAGGAGGAAGGCGGGTTCGACCTGAGAGAGAAGACGGCAAAAGTTCTGCGCAACTTCCTGTGGGTGATGGAAAAACTCGTGCAAGTGGACCAGAGACCAGCAGGGGTGGGTGGGACGGGGGTGGGGGGGGGGGTTGTTTAAGGCTGAGCGAGTGTGAGCGGCGTCCGGGTCCAAAGTGGCTCTGACTCCTCCTCCTCCTCCTCTTGCTCCTTTTCCCTTCTTGCCTCCGTCCAGCCACACGCGTCTGCGTCGCTCGGCGGGCGCGGCCCATCAGGAGCACTCCTCGCCGATGCGCTGGCACGAGCGGCCCACCTTGCGGTCCAGCTTGACCATCTTGAGGACGGCCTCCTGCCGCCCGCGCCCTAGATGGTCGAAGAGGCAGTCGTGCTGCTCGGGGAGCCGGTGCAGCATGCAGAACACGTAGCCTGCAAAACAGCGCAGCAACATGGAAATAAGGACAGCGTGCCCGTCACAAGTAAATCCGCAAAAAAAAACAAATTTTGAAGAAGACATGCCCCAAAAGACAAAGCAAGTCGGACATTTTGCTTTCAAGCGACCATTTCAGGGTCAATTGGGCCATTGTCAAGGATCCTTTGAATTTATTTATTTAGCCACCAAAGCCGCTTACACTTGGCAAGACAGAATTTCCATCGAGACTATCGACTCGCTCCACAAGTTTACCATTTTGCTTCAAAGCGCCCACTTCACAATCTATTTGGCCATTTGTGAGGGTCATGAGCATTTTATTTTTTTGGGATTCAGCCCTCAAAGCCAATTTGACTTAGCCACATGAAATTTGATCGATATATTCTATCATGGCAGCCCGGGCGTCCAGTGGTGAGCGCGTCGACCTCACAGTGCAGAAGTCGTGGGTTCGATCACTGCTCTGGAGCTCCCTGTGTGGTGTTTGCATGTTCTCCCTACGCCTGCGTGGGTTTTCTCCGGGTACTCTGGTTTACCCCCACATTCCCAAAACATGCATGGCAGGTGAATGGAACACTCGAAATTGTCCCTCGGTGCGAGTGTGAGCGCGAATGGCTGTTAGTCTGTGTGTGCGCTGCGATTGGCTGGCAACCGGTTCAGGGTGTCCCCCGCCTACTGCCCGAGGACGGCTGGGAGGGGTTCCAACACGCCCAGCGACCCTTGTAAGGATAAAAGCAGATCAGAAGATGGATGGATGGATGGATTCTATCATGAGTCGACCCACAAAAAAAACATTCAGCCATCTCAGTGTCGACTCCGCCCTTCCCATGTGTCCTTTTGAATTTTTTTTACATTTCTAATTCTACCTCAAAGCCAGTTTTTCCACTTGGCAAAAATGAAAGTTGGTGGACATGTCTATTCTTAACTAATTCAGTAGCAGCCAATTCTAGACCGAGTCTGAAAAGACGTTTAAAAACGTCTTTGGGAGTGAATGAGTTAACAGACCCAACCCATATGACTCAAGGAGCCATGCAGCGACGTGTTTTGGGGCAAAATGTTGCCGAATGTGATGTGTGCACCAACCACAGCGACAGGAGCCCAGTTCCTGCTGCACCAGCTCCAGTTTGCTTTGGCAGCTGTAGCAGCGCCGGCGGTTCTTCTGCTTGGGCGTGCCGCCCCCCGCCTCCTCTCCATCTTCTTGTTCTTCTTCTTTCGCCTCAGCCCGTGGCCGCTTCTCCGGCGTGGCCTCGCTTTCCGAAGTGGAGGCTGTGAACGTAGCGGAGGAGAAGGAGAGGTTTAGCGTCGATTAGCCGAATAGGGGTTTGGCAGACCGGAGGAAAAGAGCATACCCGACTCTCGAGGACGTTTTGCAGGCGCCTGCATCGTCCCCTGCGCCGTCACTGTCGACGACACGCCTGAAAGCAGCAGAGAAGACATCTTTTATGTATTCGACGGGCATCACGTGTCAAATTTGGTTCCTCCTGCGCGCTTACTCTCGGCGGAGGTGGCGAACAACGGCGAGGCTTCCTCGGCGGCCGGCGGCTTCATGGCGGTGGGCGGGGACAAAGACGGCGACGACGATATCGATGGAGCCTTGGTGGCGGTGGCTGCGGCGGTCTCGCCGCTGCCGCTGGTGAAGACGGCCGATTGGCTGTCCTCGCCCGGTTGCTTCTTCTTGATGTCTGCACAGTGCAAGCCAGGAAGAAAGAAAGTCATCGCTGCCGTTTTAATTTTCCGAATCGTTGAAGGAATTTAAGACTTTTCAAGCCCTTTCGAGAAACAGAAGAGTTGGTCAGAGGAGCGGCCGGAGTGCCAAATAGTCAGGAGGACATTTTATGATGCTGCTGAACAGATATTGAAAGTTTCAAACATTTTCAAGTCTTTGCCATTTTGTCTTCGCTTATGTTGCGTTCTTAAGAACGCTGCACAAGTGGTTAGCACACGTCTTTTGTTGTTTTTGTGTTTGTTTTGTCACTTTGTGTTTGTTGTTACGTCGCGTGGACCTGATGTGGACTGTTTTCAGCATTTCTGGCCATGACGTTCGTCAAAGAAGAAGAATCTGTGCTTGGTGGTTGCGCCTTCTCAGCGGCACGCGTGTACCAGCACTGATTTTGATTGGGAGGAATGTCGGCGGCATTTGACCGTCGTTGCTGGACAGCTCCGGGGCCCCTGTGTCTTGCGCCTGAAATAGTTTAATTTAATTGTTCAGCGAAAAGGTCGGTGCTGATAGACAGTCTTCGGCTGGATGGATGCATGGCTTGAGGAGCCGACGATGAGAAGAAAGGAGCGTCAGCGCAGAGCGCCGATGCGTATGTGGAACTGGGAGTCGCGGCTTGGAATTGAAGCGGATTTACGTGGGACAGGAGAAGCGAGCCAATCACTTTTTCGTTAATGGATGCTACAGCTTCTTGTTGCTTTCAAGCTTAGCTTGTGGCAGACGTGTGCACATTTCAGCATGACGTCTTTGATCCACTGCTGAAAAGGACACTTTGATTCGCTCCTCTTTCATCTAGTACTGCATTAAACAACAAAGTGAATGGAGGAAAAGCGGTTAAGATGGCGCGACTGTCTGTTTTATGTGTTGTGTTGTATTATTTTGTCATTTTACGTTCAGTGTTCTTTTAATGGCGGGGCGGGCAGCCGCTCCTCTTGTTGTCATTTTAAGAGGGAGGAAATTTCATCTGTGCTGTATGTTCACACATTTGACAATAAAGTTCACCTTGACTTTGATACCTTGATGTCTCCCAGTTCTGAGGTTCTCGGCGCAAGAGTTTTTGTTCTCCCCGCACTTGCGGGGATTTCCATTGACTTCCTCCCCCACAGTCACATGCTGGGTCACTGACGATTTTAAATCGTCCAAGTGCGAAGGGCACCGCATACCGCTCAAGCTAAAGTGCCATCCATCTTTGTGCCAAGGAACTATGGCAAAGTGAATTGAGCTTAAATGCTACAGGAGCTACAGACTTTTGAAAACTCTTCAACACGTCTCCCTAATATGTGTTTTGCTACATGGCAGGAGTTTGAATGAACTTACCAGCAAAACACTTGGAACACATATTCATGGTCTTGCTGGACCTAAAACAACAACAACAAAAAAACATATTCATGGTTAGTGTCGGTTAGGTTTCCCAGTCTCATTCAAATCTGTGAATCGTCATTTCAAAGAACGATTCAACTCTGACAGTATTACCATGCCTGAAAACTCTTGGCAATAAATTATTTTCTGTTAGGGGTCCCTTAAAAAAAAAAAAAGTTCCATGGTAGTGGCACCAGGGGAGTTTAATCAAATTCAGCCCCCCGACACCAGTTTCAGCAATTGACATGAAAATTGGATGGATATGTCAAAATGTCTCAAGGACCCAAAACACAACACCAAGTCAGCCATTTTGGTTTGAAGCAGCCATTTAAGGATCACTTCCAGCCCAGTCCCCCCTCCACCAAAAAAAAAAGAGTTTCATACAAACAAACCTAGTGACGGAAGTGCTGAGGTAGGGATCACCTAAACAAGTTAGGCAAAATTACACTTCTTTTTTTAAGGCTCAGGAAATTATGCTAAGGTAGCTTGCAGTTAAGCGGCTACTTATTTTGTTATTTTCAAGCTTTCTTAAAAAAAATAAGGACAAAAAAGGTATGGATGAACTTGGCATGTGGGCAAACTGCTTTGCGGTGCAGTTGACAAGTGGGAGTGCACATTGCAAACACGCACACGTCACCTGCTGTTGACAGGTGGGCTGTCAGCCCAACTGGCACACCCCACAGATGGGAGGCAGCGGGACTTACAGGTTTTAAAGAATAAATGAGATCACCCATCTTCCTGCTCTCACTTTTTTTTTGATGCTCAATATTTTATGGAGGCTGGCTTTGCACCGCATGCTATGGATGACAATTCCCATATTTATTTTTCCCACTCAAATGACACAACTGGAATCTGCGATATATCCACCGCACACAATCAGACCTCTGCCAAATGCGGCTCAAAAATCAGACAAATATCTGCCAAAGCAAAGAGCAGGCTCGACCCACCGACAGCACCAATCACTGAGAGGGAAGTGAACATGACATGTTTTGACATCTGCAAAAATAAGTTCAGTAGAAGAAATAGAGATTGAACATTGAAGGGCATCACACAGTAATCACGTTTTGCCACTAACTTCACTCATGTTGCTTCTATACTGCATACATCTACGGACTCAATCCAAAGTCCATAACTTTTTTTTTTTTTTTTTGCACTGTCTGTCGTCGAGTTCAACAAATAAGGACGGCGTATTGGAAAACAGTCGGATGTTCTGCATGACAGGGACAATAAAAAAAAGTTATTTGATTCATGATGTATATTTTTATATTATATTGTCCAATCAAACAGTAATCGGATTTTATTTTCCATCAACTATTGGAACTGGAGTCAAGCAGTAAAAATCATTTGATGTTTGTGCATTTTCTGCAATTTCAGTTTTAAGTCATCTCCATTAAGGATTGACATTTTGAAAGTTTGATGTATCTGATATTTTTTTTTAAACATGGATTTTATAAAACATGAGTTGCAGCTATAATTTGCAGTGTTTTTCCCCCTTTAGCCATACAAAGAGGTCAATAAAACGTATTAGGGAATATAAAACTGAAGGTTCCCCCTGCAGCCGCCAGGGGGCACACTTGCGAGCCGTCCCTGGTAGAATTACTTTGTCTTCGTTATTAATTTACTGTTAAGTCGTTTGTTGTTGTATTAATTATTTTTGCTCCGTGTACATCCCTTTGTGTACGGCGGTGGTTGTTTTAAAGTGCTCTATAAATACAGGTGAGTTGAGAAAAACTCAAAACTACTCCTTGATGACGTAGCAGACTGTGAATCATATCCGGTATGCAACAAACCGCACCGTACCTTGCATCCACTTTGACGTGACACATCAAACATGAAATTCCAATGAAGATAAGAGAAGCCCTTTAGAACCTCAACCTGAAGACAAGTGAGCATTTTACTCCCAATTCTAAAGTACAAGTTGTCATTGTGAGAGCAGCAACAGGCCAAGCTGCCTTAACAAGCAACCTGGCTCAAACTGCTGCCAATAAATCATGCTGGACGTTGGCACGTCAGGTCCCAAATGTCATCGAACGCCACCCAAAAGACGTCAAGACACCGACCGGGTCCCCAAAGTTCAGCAACAGCTGTCACTGGCAGGCAGGAGGTTGATTTCTTAGGCAACTTCCCAACCCCCCACCGTCGGCCTGCTCAACGTAACAACAACAATGGGCGACTTGGGTCCGTTGGGAAAGATTTCATCCGAGCACTTTGGTCTCATTGCGAGGTGACCGAGCGGACTAAACTTACCCCCAAAAGCCGCACGGACACCGGGGAGGGAGGCCGGGCGGCTTGCTTCTCTCACTGGTGTCGCCCATGGCAGCCGGCCGCAGGCGACGCGAGGCCGGGGATGATTCTGCGGCCTGCTCTCTCGCTGGAGCCTACCCCCTCCAAAAAAAAATAATAATAATTTGAAAAAACTGGGGAAAGGCGACACGGACGAGAACAAAACGTCCTCGTCTGGTTGAATAATCCTCAAAAAAAAAGGTGAAAAGGCGAGCCGCTAAAGTGTCGATTTACGTTTGAAGAGCAATAATTGAAAGGCACTCAATGCAATCAGCTGGACACGTTAGACACGACCAACAAGCGAAGGGCCGGGGGGGGGCATCCGCGTTCAACTACAATCCGTCGAAAAACTCGCCAGTCTTCCGCCGAGGTCCAAAAACAGTGACTTAAAGAGATGTTGAAGCCGTGCGAGGGCGTTTAGCGAAAGCAGATCGCTCGAATCCGCGAGGCCGGCCCAGGCGAGCGTCCGGGGACAACCCCTCCCGTCAACACGTCCATGGGCTGAACCCAGCTGGGCCGGAAGTGCGTCCAGCAACACCAAAAATGTCAACAGTGGACAGCAAAATCGACAAAGCGACTCCAAGTGAGCTCGTGTCAGGCAACAATGCGACATCTGTTGCCACGATCGACGAGAAATGTTCAAGTTGCTGCTCTTGTACGGCTAACTCGTTTAGTTTGAGCATTCAAAGCAATGTCACCCCAAACTTTATACCATCGTGACACAACTGCGCATACGTTGAAATCATGTTTCATAAATCGATGAAATATTCAAATTGATACCCGACAACATTGCTGCATTTTCTGGCAACGTATTAGAAAATTGCAGTGAAATAATCAATTCAACCGTTTTTAACACCACTTGTCCTCATTGGGAACCAGCTGACAGTGCTAAAAATGCTGGCATCCTCATGGATGTCTCACTGCTCACACACGGCGGGCGACTGGTTGGCGGGTCGGCCTCACAGTGGAGAGGTGTAGGGTTCGATTCTGGCTCTGCCCTTCCTGTGTGGAATTGGCATGTTCTCCCCGTGCCTGCGTGGGTTTTCTCCAGGTACTCCGGTTTCCTCCCACATTCCAAAAACATGCGTGGCAGGTTCATGGAACACTCTAAATTGTCCAGAGGTGTGACTGTGAGCGCGAATAGTTGTTTTGTCTATGTGTGCCCTGCAATGGGCTGGTAACCAGTTCAAGGTGTCCCCGGCCTACTGCACGATGACAGCTATACAAGCATACATACATACAGTGATTCCTCGCTATTTCGCGGTTCGTTTATCGCAGCTTCAGTGCATCGCGGATTTTTTCAAACATATTCATAAAAAAATAAAAATTCAAATGTTGTACAGTACTGTATTCAATATGTTGCTCTATGTGACTCGCTGTTGTTTTGACTTTCGCAGCTTCTCGCGGACCGTTTGCAGACATGTTTTTTTATATGTTTACTGTATTTTGTTATTCATAAAGTAACCTAACTTATACATGTTTAAATCTATTAGTATACAGCATTAAGTCATGTTAATTACTTCAAAATTTACTTCTACCTCCATGTATACCATTAAATTTGGCCTTATAAATATTATGTACTTGTACCTATATGGGGGGGGTCGCTACTTCGCGGATTTTCGTTTATCGCGGGTGGTTTTGGTCCCCATTAACCGCGATAAACGAGGCATTACTGTACACACACACTCACTCTCTCTCTCACACACACACACACACACACCACTCACTCTCTCTCTCTCACACACACACACACACACACACACACACACACACACACACACACACACACACACACACACTTCATTGAACATACTGGGAGCGTGATTGCTTTGTCAGTCAAGAGACTCAAGGCGCAATCTTTATTTCCACAACTTGAGTCTTGTAAAGTGCCAACAGCAGCTGCTCGTGTTATGTCAAGTTTGGTATATTTGCGCAAATACAGTAATATGCTTTGGGCCCCTCAGCCCCAATTGCCATCAACTTATTGCTTTCCTTGGCAGCAGGTGGGTAAATTTAGTCGATGGAGACGTGTTGATATCAGTCCGGTTACTGTTGTGGTATGGGCGAGGGGGTCAAACAGTTTGTCACTGAACACTTAAGTGGGGGCTGGTTGGATATGCAAATGCATCATCATGGGACGAAGTTCATTTGCATACAAACGCGTTGCAAAAATAGTCGCCTGATTTCTTCAAAATATATCACATTTTCAGGAAGTCGGAACCAGTCGGCGTCCAGCACATCACAAAAACGTATCAAACGAGTCAGGACGACGGCAGGCTCGAAAAGGCGCGTGAAGACGACGAAAGAGCAGCACAAGTTATGACGGCAAAACGGCGGGGGCGGTGCAAAAACGGCAGTCCACCCAACGGCCTCAAACAGGGGGCGTGGCTGCGGCGGTGTTAGCGATTGTTGGCCTGCGAGGAAGCTGAAGACAAGTTGCAGGGCTGTAGGCTGTGCGCGCGCGACGGCCGGTGAGGGCGCGGCGGGGGCGGGGGGGGAGGGGGG